AACACCTCCCGATTGGCCCAACCTCTCACACTCAGGGTTAAATTTCAAAGTGAAGCTTTGGGGGGTCAAATATCCATACGATAGCAGGTGTCTCATCGGCACATTCTGTGGTTATTATGAAAACTACAACTGAGAAAGCAGGAGAAAGCTGGGTCTCCCACCACGTGGGTGCTTGTCCTAAAGAGATGTTTTATGGGGTTGCCTGGCAACCAAGAAATGAGAGACAATCCACAAAGAGGAACTGCTATGGTGAGCTTCTCATTGGATTTCCATCTTCCTCCAGGTATCACCAGACACCTGCCTATTGTGATTAGGTACTCGGTGGCCACCATCATCTTCACCATCCTCCTCTTCTTTCTCCTTCGTCGCTGGTGCTCCGACAAAAAGAGTAAGTCTCACGAAGCAGAGGCCACAGACCTCAGGGCCGTGTGGGGAGGAAGGATGAGGAGGGATGGGAGCACGCAGGTGTGTGTTCCTCACCGGCAGGATGGTCTCTGGCCCAAGGCAGGAGCCACAGAGGCAGAGCTTTCTAGAGAGAGCACCAGACACCCTGTCCCTGCCTTCAGCTCACAGACCATTGCTTGATTCTCAACTGTATCCTCATGTCCCTGCAGCCACTGACATCCAGGAGAAGGTTCCATGACAGACAGAAAGTGGGAGGCAGAATCACTGGGATGGGAACTGGTAGTTCTTCATGGGATGGGCCTTGCACTCAGAGAGACAGAATGTCTGAGTCTGGCTGTTGGCAGCTGAGGGACCTCAGGCACCTACAGTCTCCCCCTGTGTGTTGGGCTCTGCTCATGAAATGAGGACCCAGACGTGCCCTCCCAGCTGTTTTGATGACATCCGTCTCCTACAGATGCTGCTGTAATGGACCAAGAGCCTGTGGGGGACAGAACAAGGAACAGGGAGATAGTCCTCCTAAGGCCAGCCTCATGGATATAGTCTTATTCCCTACTAGTCCTGAAGAATGTGAGCCCCTCCCTCACTCAACATTTCCGTCTCTCCAGGACTCTGATGAACAAGACCCTCAGGAGGTGACATACGCACAGTTGGATCACTGCGTTCTCACACGGGGAAAAATCACTCGCCCTTCTCAGAGGCCCAAGAGACCCCCAACAGATACCAGCGTGTACATGGAGCATCCAGATGCTGAGCCCAGATCGTTGTCTCCAGCCCAGGAGCACCACAGACAGGCCTGGAGGGGGTCTTCTAGGGAGACAACAGCCCTGTCTCAAAACCGGCTTCACAGCTCCAATGTACCAGCAGCTGGAATCTGAAGTCTCGACACTGCATCTTAGAGCATTGCTCTTCCTCACACCACAAATCTGCTGGCTCTGTCTTGCTTACCAACGTCTGCGGTTCCCACTGCCTGCTGGAGAGAAAACGCACTCCTTTGCTTAGCCTACAATTCTCCCCTTCACTTGACCCCTGCCCACTTCTCCAACCTAACTGGCTTACTTCCTAGTCCTACTTGAGGCTGCAGTCACACTGAGGAACTCACAATTCCCAACATACAAGAGGCTCCCTCTTAACACGGCACTTAGACTCATGCTGTTCCACCTTCCCTCATGCTGTTCCACTTCCCCTCAGACGATTTTTCAGTCTTCTGTCATCAGTAAACCTTATAAAAATTTGTTGTGATTTCTATGTAGCTCTCTCCTCTTCAAATAAATGTGTCTGCCCTCATTCTTTAGGTGACTCTTTTTTTGCCTAAAGTTTCTGGTGTTATCATTACTATGTCTATATAACCCCATATGTTCTCCACTGGGTTCTCACCCCTGGACTCTGAGCTTCTGGAAGCAGGTGGAGCCTGATTTGTCTCTAGGACTCCAATTTCCATCCAACGATGCAGCATATATGAGGTTCCAATGATCATGAATCAGAGGAACAAGTGATATTCTTACTCTCTGCAGACCTGGAAAGCTGGCAGACCCATTCCAAGATGAAACATCTGTAGAGTTATCGGCCTTGTTAGTCTCATCTCCACGGGGACACATGTCCACACATCATCTTCATACTATAAATACACAGTCGCTCCTCCGTATCTGTGGGGTTTACAGGTGTTTATTGAACCAACTATAAACCAAAAATATTCAGAGAAAAAATCCGCAAAGTTTCAAAAAGCAAAACTACGTTGAATGGACACAAACAGAATGGTGTGTAGGCTGTGTCAGGAATTATAAGCAATCTAGAGATGATTTCATGTATACAGGAGGATCAACATGGATTATATGCCAACGCTGTACCATTTTATGTAAGAGGCTTGAGCACCTGCAGATTGTGGTATCTGAGCCGAGATCATGAAACCAATCACCCATGAATAGTGAAGGATGACTGTATCTAACTTTTATTTCTCAGTTTTAAATATGAATCAAAAAAATTTACAATAACAAGATTAAAAACAAGAAGTGGTTTATAGTATGAGAGTACGTTTAGATTTATTTTTTTCTATGTGTAACCCTTGGGCCCATGTTATCTATTGAGAAGACATTCTATTCCTCCTTAAACCACATGCCAGCCTTTGTGAGCTCTAACAGGACTGGGTGTGCACGGATGTATTTTAGACACTGTTTTCCAAAAAGGGGCTCTCTGCGTTCACTCTCTTGAGGATGCTGCATATTCCGTAGGCTTACACAACCCCTTAAAATTTGGTAGCTGGAGTCCTCTACTTTCTTATTATAGTCTATTTGCTACGCTTTTTCTATATTTCTTCAGGCAGAGTCTCGCTCTGTCACCCAGGCTGGACTGCAGTGGCAGAATCTCGGCTCACTGCAACTTCCACCTCCCAGGTTCAAGCGATTCTCCTGCCTCAGCCTCTTGAGTGGCTGGCATTACAGGTGCCCACCACCAGGCATGGCTAATTTTTGTATGTTTAGCAGAGACATGGTTTCTCTAAGTTGGCCAGGGAGGTCTCGAACTCCCGACCTCCGTTGATCCACCCACCTCGGCTTCCCAAAGTGCTGGGGGACACTTGATTTTTTATAGCATTATGTTACTGGATATTTCCATACAATTTAAAATGAGGGAGGCAGAGAGACAGACAGAGAGCGAACCATGTGCTGGGACTCTGGAATCTCAGGTCATGAGACAAATTGTAGATAAAATGACAAAAATCCAGAATTGACATGTTGTGGGTTTTGCTGATGAAGAACA